AGGCTATTTAATATTGCTGGTAGCTTCAAAGAGGCAACTATTTACTATGAAATAATTTTAGCAGTTATCCTTGCAGCTGCTTGAAGACCTAATCTAGCACCTGATGTTACTCATTTACTGGGACAATCACCCTTACATTAATAAAGCTGGAATTGGCCTTTTATCTGTCCTAAGGCATCCTTTTATCAGAACTATCTTTTATGGAAAAATACAGCGTTCTTTTACTGACCTTCTAGCAGTTTTGATCAAAGGTACCATTGTATTTCACTGTGTGAGCAGGCTGCATAGTTTTACTTAGCTTCTGTCTGCCATCTTGTGAGCAGGTATGGGCAGCTTAGTGTGTTCAGGTACAAGTCACCTTACATGGCCGGGTACAGGTCACGCCTACAAATCCCAAATTATAGTCGCAGGTCCACTATTAGTTCAAGCAGTCCAAATCAGAGTTCAAAAGTCCAAATCAAATTCCAAGAGTATTCTTCACCAAATTATGCTGCATGCATGAACCTCTTGCCGTTGTTCGATGAGGTGGTCTTCGCCGTTCCACTAGTAGTCTGTTGGCTTGATGGTGCATAGTACAGCCACCCCCTTGTTCCATGGCTCTTCTGCAGCCACCTTCTTCATTATCGTGGTCATAATGCATTTTACAAGACAAAAACAATGTAACATAAGAACAGTGCAACAACAAACATTGCTATTCCCTGTACAATTTGTACAAAACAACATTTTGTTTGTGATATACATAAATGATCTGGAGGAAGGTATAGATGGTCTGATTAGCAAGTTTGCAGATGACACTAAGATTGGTGGAGTAGCAGATTGTGAAGGGGACTGTCAGAGAATGCAGCAGAATATAGATAGATTGGAGAGTTGGGCGGAGAAATGGCAGATGGAGTTCAATCCAGGCAAATGCGAGATGCATTTTGGAAGATCCAATTCAAGGCTGAACTATACGGTAAATGGAAAAGCCCTGGGGAAAATTGATGCACAGAGAGATCTGGGTGTTCAGTTCCATTGTACCCTGACGGTGGCAACGCAGGTCAATAGAGTGGTGAAGAAGGCATACGGCATGCTTTCATTCGTTGGACGGGGTATGGAGTACAAGAGTTGGCAGGTCATGTTACAGTTGTATAGGACTTTGGTTTGACCACATTTGGAATACTACATACAGTTCTGGTCGCCACTTTACCAAAAGGATGTGGATGCTTTGCAGAGGAGGTTCATCAGGATGTTGCCTGGTATGGAAGGCGCTAGCTGTGAAGAGAGGTTGAGTAGATTAGGATTATTTACATTAGAAAGATGGAGGTTGAGGGGGGACCTGATTGAGCTCTACAAAATCATGAGAGGTATAGACAGGGTGGATAGCAAGAAGCTTTTTCCCAGAGTGGGGGACTCAATTACTAGGGGTCACGATTTCAAGGTGAGAGGGGAAAAGTTTAAGGGAGATATGCGTGGAAAGTTCTTTACGTAGAGGGTGGTGGGTGCCTGGAATGCATTGCCAGCGGAGGTGGTAGAGGCGGGCACGATAGCGTCATATAAGATGTATCTAGACAGATACATGAATGGGCAGGGAGCAGAGGGATACAGATCCTTGGAAAATAGGTGACAGATTTAGATAGAGGATCTGGATCGGCGCAGGCTTGGTGGGCCGAAGAGCCTGTTCCTGTGCTGTAATTTTCTTTGTTCTTTTAGGAGCCTATCTGCTCCTGAAATTGCACGTTTGAGTCGTTCTGGCATCATCTGCAGGAGGGACGCTGTGTGGCATATGAATAGTCCCACATAGGCCAAGTAACATGACCCTGTCTAGGTTGGGAGTAGCCAGGCATAGACTCTGTGCCCACACACAGAAAGTAGGTGCCATTGTACGGGACGAATCAGGTAATAATCTCGGTGTACCATCGTTGCTGGAATGTACTGTTACTTGTGAGGTTCCTGAAGGTCAGGAGCTAGAGCTATCATGCATGAGGAGAGACGAGTTTAGGGATCCCATGGTCAGAAATGCCATGGTCATCAGTGCCCTGATGGGACCTGGAAGACGATATGTGGAAGTGTTGTAACTCTGGGTGCAGTTGCTAAATCCCATGGGTGTTCCTCCTCCTTGGTTTTCAATTCTCGTTAGGCAGATCAAGTCATCAGGTCTCCCTATCCCTGATGTGTTAGTCAATGTGATGAAGGGGGGTGGTTGTGAGGTTGTGTAGTTGGGTTGGTACCATATTGTAAAGGTGTTTAGGTTATACCCTACTGATTTCCATTGTGCCCTATCTTGGTCAGTATTTACTAAGTGCTTTCCAATATTGGTAGGATGCCCATCCCTATCTCCCTGTTTTGAGCTATTCTGTTTTAATACCCATTCGGCTAATTCTGAAGCATTGGAGGGGTTGGGTCACATTGGTATCCCTCCCTTAGAGTGTATGAGGACATGGGTGCAGACCCAGCAGTCGCATACACATGTGATAAATACAAAAATGTACTAACGTTCAAATTCCTCTTCTCCACTTGTCTATCAGTTTCTAATGGAATCAAAAGTAAGAGGAACCCACAGAGGATTACCATTTTCATACTCATGTTAATTTCAGCAATGTTCATAATTACAGTCTTTACCATGCAACCGCGTCACATACGTTTACATGTGACCTAATCTGTTCCGGTTGTTGTCCTGGGGTTGAGGATCCTGTTCCTGCTGTTTGTTGGTGCGCACTGATGAGGGTCCTCTAAAACCTGCGAGAGGGAGGGAGAGAGAGAGAGGGGGAGAGAGAGAGCATACCAGACTAGCAAACTGGACAGTAACCCCATTAACCATTATATACTCTTAGCTGTGTAGGATGTCTCCATTTACCAATTCCATTTTCATTAATAAGTGCGCTTCTGTTACCAGTTAATATTACCTCATGAGGTCCGTCCCACAGTGGGGACAAGACTCCCTTGCTTGGGATTATTTTTACGAGGACCTTTGATCCTGGGGCTGGCATTTCTGTTTGTCCTGGGTGTCCCTCAGACTCCCAGTCCTTGACAAGCTGCTGGTCTTGTGCCTGCCCATGAAGTATGTTGTAGGAGTGTTTATCCTGACCTGGGACAAAGACTCAGGAGGCAGGCAGGATTCAGGAAAGTGGAGGATGTTTATTCAAGCAGAAACCGTTTTATGCAGGGAGAGGACCAAAGGATCTTTCCTAAATCTGGCTTTGGAAGATACATCAATGACACACCCTCTGCTTTTACAAAGAAATACAGCATTTTTATACATTTTGTGTTAAAGTAATCAAATGCAGCATAGTCATCGCCCTTCCCCTTAATTCAAACACTCAATCCTGTGAGACACCTGATCAGTGATGGGCACTTCCATGAACAGCCCCAGGTTCCCATGATCTTATGGTATTAGCTAGACATAATAATCCCTAGGTCTTTGGATCTTACCATGCATCCTATTCATTCACATTCCAAAAGTTCAATGGCTATACTTCATCGGGTCTTTCTCAGACTTGTTTATCTGTAGGGACAGCTCAAACTCTATTACCCATTGTATTTTGGTGCTGTCTTTTATCACATTCAGTTACTGCTTTTATTTTCCCACTATCCCAGTTACATAATGTAAAAATAAAATGTCAGTTAGTTTTAACTAATTGTGATAAGGTTAACTTCTGTTATAAAGTTAATTATAAGTCTAATGTTATACAACTACTTCTACTGTCAGCATTTCAAAATTTATGGGTTGTGATCCATCTATCTTGTTCCAGGCATAAGAGAAGGTGTTTTCTAAGGCTAGTTAATCTTTACATCTCAGCATAATTTTTTTTTAAGGCTTGTATTATATTCTGGTTATGTATTGAAACCAACTTTTATGATTAGAGCATTTTTAGCTAGAGGCTATTTAATATTGCTGGTAGCTTCAAAGAGGCAACTATTTACTACGAAATAATTTTAGCAGTTATCCTTGCAGCTGCTTGAGGACCTAATCTAGCACCTGGGGCAATGAAGACAGTGGAAAATAAATGGCAGTAAAGAACATAATGAGCGTGCTAGTCGAAGGGAATGTGGTAAAGGGTAGGTAAATAGAATGTTACAGTAGAACCAGAGGCTGCCTGACCTGAATTTTAGTGGCATTTTCTTTTTTTTAAAATTCCTAGGATCAGTATTTTTGATGAGTACTTACCTTTTGTGTAATTGCGTCCATCTTTTAGTTTTAAAATTTCTGCAGTTCTTATTCTTATTATCACAATTTATATGTGTGTGCCTTTGTTTATATTTTATATATGTAGATATCACTTTTTTCTATGCATTTTGGTGCCTGTTTTTCAAAGAATAAAATAGGAACTGAGTACTGTCTGATTGATGACCTTTTTTGGCAGATGAACCAGATACTATATACAACACAAGCCAGGACCCTTTGTACATATGCTGTGTCATTGATTGCATATACTTCAAGGCATGAAGAGAGCCCTAGTCAACCTGAGGAGAACCTTTGCACGAACACATGGTACATGCAAACACAAAAACACACTTGCATGCATAGATATACATTGGTGTATAAACAACCACTGTGTTCAGACAGGCTGATCTTGAGTGCAGTTGTATTAATTTTACCCATGATAAAATCTTTGCAGTTTGTTCTTGCTGCAATTTACATCTCAGCAAGAAGGATATTCTTTCTCATTTTTGGAGGAGTCATTAAAGTAAGGCCCATCTTCCTTCTCCGGTATATAACCTTCCAGCAATATTCAAAGAGAAAGGATTTTCTTTGGTGCCTTAATATTTGCCCCTCTAAAAATTAATAAAAACAGATGCATTTGATCATTGTTACCTTGTATTTGTAGGTACGTTTGTGTTAGTTGGCTGCCACATTTTCTATATTGCAACAGTGATTGCACTTTTGAAGAAAAATACCTCATTGACTTCAGAATGCTTTGGGGTGTGAAGATGTGTGATAAATGCTTCCTGAATTACAAGTTCTTTCTTATGTTTCATGTATAGTTTGGTGTTTTGTTCTAGTATATACAAGATATCCATTCAGTTTGTTCATGTGCTATAATAATAATGTTTCTTCTTCTCTTTTGTAGGGTCCCTGATCACCAAGATATTGCTTTTGGAGCTTTACAACAAGGTTCCAATTGCCTAGACACACTGGGCCACTTTGCAGATGGTGTTGTGGGTGTCTATGAATGTCACAATGCAGGGGGTAACCAGGTGCGCAGTGTTTTCATTATTGCTATCTATGATTTAAGTTTCACTATGCAATGTATTAGATTGCTTAATTCCTGTGGTAAAGAGGATTGTCTTTACACAGGGCTGTCTTTCCAATTCATCTTAATCTGTGTTTATTGCCTTCCAGAGGACATTGAGTTGACCATTTAGTCGGGTATACAAAATTACATGTAGTCCCAGATTAGGTGGGGAACACCGATTTTATTCCCTGAAGGATGTTAATTAAACCAGTTGGGTTTTCATATTGTGACATCTTTCCCTGTCACTCCTTTGTGGTGCCTGCTCGCAAATCATTAGATTTAATTAATTCAATTTCCTAACTTGCTATGGTGAGCTTTTGATTTACCATACTTTTGGGTTGCAGATCCACTGTTGTGCAGGGGAGAAGAATATTCAGAGAAAGAAATATAATGTCAGTCTTGCAGTGAAACATGTTCAGTCCTCACCCTGTTTTCTTTCTGGATTTTTTTTGTCAGGAATGGGCATTAACAAAAGGCAAGTCAGTGAAACATATGGATTTGTGCCTTACTGTGGTAGACCGGGTGGCTGGTTCTCTCATAAAGTTGCAAGGTTGCAGAGACAATGACAGCAGACAGGTAGGTAAACAGTGTTATAATCACCTACTGTTACATCAGTGCTTGTTATTTAATCCTCAAACTTTTAATCATAGCATTATGAAAATTAGGAACTGTTTTACTGTTTCGAAACATCTATAGATTTCATACACAGCAATGCAAACAATCCCATTCTGAGAAGCTTACTTGTAAAGAGTTCCCTGGAAATTGTTAGTTCAGGCAGTTCATCCCTCACAAGTAAATAAAGTTTCCACTGAGTGAAACTATACTGGTTGTAGCAATCAATATCTAATTTTTACTTTGTTTCAAAAATATCCCTCTATTCCTCAATTGTTTGCTTATATTAATGAAAGAGATATCTATTGTCTCTACAATGCTCGTGATCAGTATAGAATTCAAGAGAAACCTTGTTAGCCAGAAAGTGGTGAAAATGTGGAACTTGTTAACACAAGTAACTGAGATGTTAAGCACAGATTCAAGGGAAAGCCAAATAGACAAGGAGTAACAAATACATTAATTTTATGTGGTTTGATGAACACATGAGTGGGAGGAGACTTCTGTGGAGCATAAACATTACTGTATGTGGCCAAATGGTCTGTTTGTGTGGTAAATACCTTGTAACTTTGAGCTGAATTCATAATGTACTTTTCATGATAACTAAGTCCTGTTTCATTTTTTTACAGAAATGGGAACAAATTGAGAATAACTCAAAACTAAGGCACGTGGGCAGCAATCTTTGTCTTGACAGTAGGAACAGCCGGAGTGGCGGGCTCACTGTTGAAGTCTGCAATCCAACCCTTTCACAACAGTGGAAATTCACACTTAATTTACAGCAGTAATAGATATGGACCATTACATTTTGGAACTTTCAATGTGGACAATATTTAAATTGGTAAATCAAGTTTGCATTCAACCATATACCTCGATTTTTGAAAGAGTTCCATATTACATCTTTCTTTGAATTAATGTATCGAGTGTCTAAACTTTTTGGTTTCGGTTACTCTCTATCTCTATATTATTTCTTTTCAATTAGCAAAGTCCTTCCCTCCTGATCTTTATTAGTACGGTACACATATTTTCATCACAGCAAGAATCATTTTAGTCCTTCTGTTGTGGAAGTTTCCCAAATAACAATTTCTGTTCTATAGGAAATGCACTGCACTGATAATGAAGGCTGCTTATGAGCACATCAAACATTTGCGCCTCTAAAGAAGGTGGTGTCCAGCTCTGTACTGTTTCAAAATTCACATTAGTTTTTTTATGATTAATTTTTGTATCAACTATTGTCCAAATGCAAAGCTACTGTGTCTTTATCTGATGTTCAGTTTTTGCTGCAGTGTGCAGATACCATAACTGTAATTCAGCGTATGAGTTTTGTAAGCCGTGAAGAATTGATTAAAAAAAAAGGCAAAAAAGATGTTGGAAAGTGAAATGATATCCAAAAAAAAGTCACGTGCTGTTCTTGCATTTTATATCTATGTTACATTCATCTATATCTCAGCACTTTTCTTATTTCTTTCTGTGCCCGGGGTAGGTGGGTGTGGGTGATGTGTAACCCTGTAATTGTAAGGCACAAACACTTACTAAATGTTATTTAATGGATCAAAGTCAGTTGACAATTCAAAGATATTTTATATTTATTATGTAAGTAGCTGTATTGAGACTGTAATGCACCAACATCATTCCTTTCATCTGTGATTCCAGCTTGCACTTTCTGTAAAATCCTCCAGTAATTTACCAGCTAGCTTTTTCTACATTGATTTTTCTTTTCAAAGTGGTGTCGAACACGTGCCTTCTTAGTCCAGGTTAATTAACAACAAAAATATAATTCCTAGGTGATCACAGTGTACCCATGCAATGGCAGTATTTCTATATATTTACATTTGTCATTTGAAGGTTTAAGGGAATTTTTTTCAAATCGATCGCTCAGTGAACTGAAAGCAGTAGGAAACTTAAACCATGTTCCTCCACCTTCCAAACTCACTTCTGCTAACAGCTATCAATATCTTAGTATCAATTTTCTGTAAAGTCTTACTTCATTTATTTATTTAGTTTATCAAATTGATGACTGTCAGGTTACACTATGTTGAGATTTAATGAGCACAATACAATAAAAATGTCTGGCACTACCAGAATATGAAAGGTTGATTAAAATGAGAAACATCTGTCTTTCTCGTCTCTCCAAACCTACTCGCCCGTGCCCCTCTCCAGCTATATCTGTTACTTTATTGCTGTTTCCCTATCTTGCCTCAATCTCTGCTTCTTTTACTGTTCCATGTCTTTGTGCTAATGGACAGACAATGATTTTATTACCAACTTTAAAAGCATAAACTGTACGTGTGAAACATCCAAGTTCTTCTTGGAAAGAAAAATTTTACTGCTGCTGAACATGGGGTTTGATGTTAGTTTTCAAATAAAATGTTTACATGCCACAGTGTGCCAAAGTTCATTGTAGTAGAAAAGCATCATCCTTTTCATTTATAATTAATAATCTTAACATTTTAAATACAGTATTTCCTTCTAATGAGAAAAGCCCCATTATTAAAAAGCCTTTGCAACACCCAAAATGCAAAGGAGCTTGTTGGGAAACCTAAATAAGTGTTTATCTTCAAATAACATCAAACTTGCTTTTGCTTAGAAGTAACATGTGACTATTGATTTTTTTTTTCCAGTGTAAGACTAATTTCTTTTCTCAATTCCCAGTTCTTAAGAATAACTTTTGTAAAGAGTAATATTAGTGTTGTGTGCAACTATGTCACTGTGGAGTGTTTGAATGATGCCAAGTGTCATCAATTCATAAAATGACTCTCCCCACATTTTTCTCACTAATCTACAAAGCATGATCTTACTCATACTTTTTATAGATGTGATGGAAAGCATCGTTGAAATTGAATTAATTTTAATAAACTTTATACCTTCAAATTCCAATTTTTCATGTTTTTGTATAAAATTAATACATTTTAAAACACAGGAATAACTTGCACTTCTAGTCCTTGGGACATCCCAGGTTTGTGAATGACCTCTCACATCTAAAGTACTTTTGAAGTGTAATTATTGTTTTAATGTAGAAAACGTAGTGTTTGCACACAGAAGTTCTCCAAATGATTTTTTGATAATGATAACATTTGATGTTGGTTGAGAGATAAATATCGGCCAATGGAGAAGAAATTCCATGCTTCTTAAATAATGTTATCTTACATAAAAGATGACACTACTGACAGTCCAGTGCTCCCTTAGTATTGCAGTTGTCACCTGTAGATTTTGTACTCAAGAATCTAAGGATGGGCCTTAAACTCTGGTGATTATTGTCCAGAGAGCCAAGGCTCACTCATGTATTTGAATTCTTGACGTTAGATTTATTTTTCATAATAAATGTGTGTGTAAACTGTTCCTAATAAAATATTTAGCAGTGATGAATCTCCAGTAGCTGTTTCTTGCCCCTTACAGGTCTTGCACTTTTCAGCTGTGTAAAGAATCCTATTTGTGACTAACATTATTCTCTTTTGCATTACATCCATCTATTCATTCAGCCATCTCTGCATGTCTTCATGCCTTAGAAAATAATCTACTGGTTGCCTTTTCTTCATGATATTCAGTAGTAGTCCTTACTCTTTCACTATCAGACACTAATCCCCATTAAAATAAGCAAATCAACTATCAACTTTGTATTTCAGCTTATCTGTTGGTGCATTCTAACTATATATAAGCACCTTTCCTAGTACAGCTAGTTCAGATGTGTTATAACCAAATTCAAGCTGTTGAAGTGACACCACTGATATAGCTACTTCATAAAAAAAAAACGAGACTAAGTATCAACAGAACAGTAGCCTATAATAGTACTGAATATACTGTAACTATCCTGTTGCCATTGGCATCCTCATACTGAGTGAGAACTATTAGAGACGTAAAGATCAGGGCCCATACTGGTACTAAAGTACCATTTTTTTGACCCCATCAGAAATATTATGCAAGTGTGCTATACTTTCCTTACATGATGATATATGATTTAATAAGATATTTTACTCACTTTATTAACCAGTGAAGGACATACAGCATGTACAATTTTCCAGGATCACTTTATTGTAAATCATAACATACATCTTTATATTTTAAATACAACATTTTTAATATACAGGGCACTTTTGAGACACACATTGCTTGATGAAAATAAAAAAAAACAGAACATGGACCCCACATGAAAGCGGACAGTAACTCTGCATGCTGTGTCCAAATCAGATTTAGAATTGCACAATACCCTTCATCTCTTTTATAATTATACAGTTCATTTATGGATACATTCCACTCTAGTGTCAAATCATCCTACTGTAAAGCTTGCAAGACACTTGTAGAAATATTTCTTCAAGGTAACGCATCCATTGTATCAGCACAATTGCACATCCTATCATCATAATCCTGATGCATCTAACTGCTTTGCCGAGCTGACCAACTGAGCTTCGACAATCCTAACACCAAAAAGGTGTATCTTATTTTGTTGTAAACTACCTCCATGTAGTGTCCTAGGAATTTAGCATTCTAAGCAACAACTTCTAATTCTTTGCAGTGATTAAGAACAGTGAATAAACAATTTGATTGGTGCAGCATCCAGTAAATGCAGTACATCCCACAGACTGAATTCAGAACGTGATATAATAGCTAGTTCAATGTAAACATTCAGAATGCATAATAAGTCTTTGTTATAAATATCTATACAGGGCTTTTAGATTGCACAATGAGTGTGAATTTAGGTGCTGGTGTATTATGGAACAATAATGAAAGTGTAAATTATGAATAATTAGTCATTAAGTTTTTTACTTTTGCAAAAAGAAAATTACAAGATTCCTTGCAATGATGTTACTTTCCCACAGGTGTACAATTTGAATATAAAAAGTGTACATTTTACCTCTCCATGTATATAAAAATGCCATATTTAGACCACAATTTAAAGATTATGCAGTTGTTCCAGTTGTGTTCAAGTTGAACACTATTCATTCAATTTTGCAGATGTACTTACTTCAAAAAGTAAGTGACATTTGGATTTTCAAGGTTGTTTTGAATGGCAATACCAGTCTCTAGATTCCTTGCAAATAGTGTGTTGTGGTCTTCAGTTGGCCTGACTGCTCCATGGCAGAACTGGGAGTTAAAGAATGTACTTGCTGCAAATTCCAAGGAAAAGCTGGACAGTGAGAATATTTTTTAATGGTTACAATAAGAGTGAGAGATGTAGTTTAGCCCTGTGAATGCAGTGCAACAATTTTGACCTTGGCACCTGTGCTGCCAGTGTTATTATTCCAAGGGCAGATGTTCCTCAATTCCAAGCAACTCTTTGACCAGTCTTTCACCAAATTGTACCCGTGTGTAGCGCCTGACAAGATATGCTTCTGACATCTTGTACAAGATGTATGAATTATTGACAGCAATACTGAGAACAAACCAGAACACTTGCTGCCAGGTCTTGTTAGCTTTGTGGGATATAAAGTACCTATGAAGAGAACAAACCCGATTACTAAAACATATGCATGTATTTAAACGTGTGTATACATAAAGAAAACTGCTCCCATTGGCAGGAAGCTCTGCAGCCTAAAAACATGGATTTGAGATGATTTTTTTAAAAATGCGGAAGATTAGAATTTGTTCAATAGTGAGATGTTGTGCTGTAGTGGGGCAGAACTGAAGGAATCGATTAAAAAGTTGAAAGCTACTGCTGTGCCCATTCTGCCTTGGAATAACATTCTATTGTTTCGACTGATGAATTTGGCTGAATAGGAGCTCTTGGTAATTTTCTCATCAGTATCCATAAATAAGGTGGTTTTAACACACTCAGCTTGCTATAGTTTACTGGGGCTAATTGAGCCAATACCTGAATGCATTATATCTCCTTTAAACAAAGGGGTGATTCACAAACTCTTAAGATGGACAGTCACAAAAAGAGATTGCATAAATGACTGTCAGTTTGGTTAAAATAAGTCTTAAAGAGAGTCCCTAAAGGACAAGGAGATAGAGGAGGCAGTTGGTGTTTTGTGCAATGATGCTAATGGCATGGCCAATGATAAAGCAATTTAGGATTCAGAAATTGAGTTGGTTCAGTGGTTTGCCTTTTGAGTTTAAATCCCTGCAAAGTGAACTCAAAACATTAACTGTTTCTTTCTCCAGGGATACTTCCATGCCCACCGAGTTTGTTCACTTGTTTTTATTTCTGATTTCTAGCATCCATATCATTTTGTTTTGATTTGGGGCTCTCAAGATTACCCAAAGCAAATGTTCTGTTATTTATTTCATTACTGTTTGTGGTACCTTCCTGTGTGCAAAATTGGCTACCATATTTCCCACATTGTAACAGTGACTGCACTTAAAAAGGATCTCAGTGGCTAGAAGATACCTTGTAAAATGTATGATAGATATGCATATTGTTGTATAACATCATATTTTTAAATCTGATAATACATCCTGTTCAGACCACTGCAGACTAGGAAATGGCTCCATAAAAAGGTCAAAATGAAGCAAAAACAAAGTACTGGCAAAACTCAGCAGCTCAGGCAGTGTGTGTGGGAAGCCAGAAAAAAGTTAATGTTGAATTCAGTTCTGAAGAAGAGTTATCAGACTCAAAATGTTAACTGTTTTGGGTCCATAAAAAGGTAACTGGATCTTATATTCGATAAGCTGGATAGTAAACACAGATGTTTGAGGTCAAACTGGCTTCATCAGTTTTCACTGCTAAATGTAGCCCTTTCATTCCGGTCCCTCTTATTTGTGAAAAAAAAAATCAAGGACAAGAAATAGATTTGAGATTTGGAGGACTAATATCAGGTCCTCGAAACTGGGAAGGAAAGGTTATCATTCGATATATGTAGTTGTGCAGTTTCTAAGACAGATCATTTTCTAGTTATGTCAGTTTAATCTTGTATTCAATTAGCATAATAATTGGGATAATATAGAGAGCGTCAAGACTAAAAGCACAAGATTCCTTATTAAATCCAGATATCATTTTACAGAAAACACTTGATAACAATTCACCAGAAAATGCTTGGAACAAGCAGCTCTAATCTCAGGCCATATAAATTAGGAACTCAAGATTCATTTGGGTTTGCAAGAGAAATGGAGGAAAACTTATTACAACCCTTGCAAGCTTTTCAAGAATTGGATCAATCACAACATGTGTTCCAATTCCTCTCCACATTGCCCAGCAATACTCTCAAAGTATCCTTCAAGCATTTGGCTATGTGCGGTCAGCAAGCCAACACCCTAGTTGTTTCTTGCTATGTTTTGCACCTTTTCAAATAAAGATCCCAAATAAAGTAACTTATTAAATACAACAATTCAGGTGCCAAAAGTAGGTATATATGTTTTAACGCCGTAAGTAAATCATTATTCTTGGATCCATTAAATCCAATTAAAGTTCCTACATAGTTATAAAAATGTAGATTTTCACCAAAACTTAAGTCCATATTCAGCTACCAAATAAAAAGGAGAGTTCAAACTCACTTGCTGTACTTATCATCATATTTGCAGATATAGCCAAGGTGAGCAGCAAAAGCTTCTACTGCTAAAGGACAGCGAATCTCTCCACTCTTCCTTCTAATTATGACACCTATAGGAACAAAAAGATTTGATCAAGCAACTGTAGTATCTAAAAATATTGAAAAATTTCCATTGATCAGGACATTAAAAATTAGACTTTAAGTCTTGAAAATGTGATTGCCTTTTAGTTAACACAAACCAAGCACAGCATTGATATCCAAATGCATAACATTTGTCTTTGCTCGAATAGACCCACATCTGTTTTTGATTTAAATTCAACACAAGTTGCAACAAGCTTCTTCCCTAGAGATTTCACTTGGGAGACACATCTGAAGCAAGCAGTCTTCTTTAAATAACTAACAGATATTGTAAGCTGAAGAGAAAAATGTAGGTTATAGAAACTGTAATATCAATTACTGCCCTAGATTTCTGACTCCCAGAAAAGGACCTGAGTAAAGAATCCCCTAATTAATCTTTCCTTGTATCTCGACATTTCATTGAGCCAAACCTCTGCACAATCCATATTGACCAGCTTCTACTTGATCCATTCTTATTTATCTCAAAAACCGAGAGAATCACTCGCAATGGTTTATCCTGCTCCCACAACACTAACTGGAGGTGCCCCAAGGGTCTGTCATTTGTTCATCTATTGCTGTCATCAGCTTCCCAGAAGGTCGAACTCCATGAATCACTCAGCCTATCCTGTACTGCTCTTGAGCATTCCGTCTGCGTACAGTCCATTATATCCATTTTTTCCTCTGCTTCGTCCTCTCATGTTCTCCATCGATCTCCTTTCTGTAATTGTTTAATGATGTGATTGAGGTATTGTATCTTCTTTGTTATTACACCAATTTCTTCTTACTGCAGCCATTGAGTACTTTTTCAAGTCTTTTTAAGGTAGGTTATGCTTGTCACTGTGTTCACGTCTGAAAAGCATTCAGCTTTTCAATAGTGTTTGTTTATTGTCCATGTTTCTAAAGCGTAGATAATAAAATGACCAAATGCAGCGCTTCATCAGTTTTTTCCTAAGAATCAGGTTCAGTTCCTTTGATATTACGACCTTCATTCCAACAAAGCTGACCCTTCAAACCTCAATCACATTTCTCATTGGCTGTGATAATGAAAGATAGCGACCTGTTCACTTGCTCTAAAATGTTATCCATTTACTACAGTTTCACAGATTAGGTTGCTGCTCATCATCATTGGTTAATAGTGAATGTGGAGCAAACTCAGACAATATTCCTCAATTAGTTACAATTGACTTCCTCTTCTGATGATGTAATTAATGTGTCATTTGCGCATCTCAAATTGCTGTGTTTCAACCTCTCAGCATTGCAACCAGGTAGATCTTATGCCTCTGAAGATAGCTTCAGTATACAGGTTGAATGTTTTTATGGACATAATTCTCTGATACACTCCGATTGATTTGCCAAACCTGTTGATTCCATACAGATTCAGAGTTATCCCTTAATTATTTGTTAATATCTAGTATTTCTAAGCATTCCATCTATGCATGACCTGTTTCCTAATCCACACACTGCCCCTCAGCAACAGCATTTGAAACACAGTATTAATTTTCACATGTACACTGACAACACCTAGCTCTACCTATCACAATTGTTGACTCTCTACTGATACTAAGTAATCAAACATTTTACCCAACATCCAGTACTGGATGAGCAGAAATGTTGTTATCTAATTAAGTACCAGCAAGACTGAAACCATTGTAATCAATCTTAAATCAAAATACCATTCTCTAGCTACTGATTCCATCTCATTCCCTGGCTACAGTCTGAGGTTTAAGTAGTCTTTTTGCAACTTTGGCGTTATTTTTGACCCAAAACTGATCCAAGACCACCTACTGCCACTTCTATAATAATGCCTAATTTTGAATCTGTCTCAGCTCACGTGCTGCTGAAAGTCTCATTCCTGCCATCATTACCTCAATTTCCGAGTATACCAAACTAGACTCCCAAATCCTACCCTCTATATGCTTGAGCCTATCGAAGACTCTGATCGTAACTTAACAAGTCTCTTACCCTTGTTCTTTCTTGCCTAAATTGGCTTCCAGTTAAGTAATATTCTTACTTTAAAACAGTTTTCAAATCCCTCTATGCCTAGTCCCTCCTTATCTGTTACACCCTCCAGCCTCACAACCTTGCAAAATATTTGCACTCTGCTCCTGGACTTGCAGTTGTAAAAAAATTGTTTCTTTCTCAACCTTGCCTCATCCTCTTAACATATTGAAATCTTTGATTAAATCACCTCAAGACTTTTTAAATTTGTGGGAATACCTTGTTTGTATAATCTTTGCTGCAAATCCTGTACGACTTCCAAGGACAATATATCCTTCTTAAAAACAGATGGCCAGAACTGCTCTCTGTTCTTTAGTTGTGATCTAACCAAGGCTTTATATAACTAATATCATTACTACCACCTGTGCTAATTCTCTAGCTATTCTGCACTGTATCAATTACCTATGCTATAGTATATGGGGCATGATGAACAGGGTGAATGAAATATGAAGTGAAAATAACTCAAAAGTTCTGGATGTTATAGCCACAATCAGCTTTTGTTTTTAAAAAAAAAAGATTTCCCTATAACGTTGTAGAACTTGCACTCCAAGAAGTCAGTTGATGAGAGTACAGACACCACTTGTGACCAGGCTATCTAAAAATGTAGTCCATAAAGTGCCAAATTCATTTTAAAAATCCCTAGTTAAGGGGATAAATATTTAATGAGCACTTGCCTTCTTTAAATGGAGAGTAAGCATTTGTGAGAAAGTAGAACTGCCCTTTGTTGGACCAGCTTATTAGGGACATGTTTCCTTTCATTCTCACCCTGTACTGGCCCCGAGCCTGTGGAATCTCAGGGTTCACTAGCATCGACTGTGGTAGTCCTGTACAGTCACTCTTCCTGGAGCTGAGAAGTCCACAACAATAAATACCTGTGAGAAGCAATACCATTTTGAATTTAAAACACCACTTAATAAAATGGACCAGTTATTGAAGATCTCTGTTCATAGAAAGCACACTTTATTGACAAACCCAAAAGCCCAGTTAAAACTATTGATGTTGTACAAACATAACTGCAAAAGCCAATGGATATTCTTGTGATGAGAGCGTATCTCATCAACAATACTAAAAACACACATGATAACACGCACACAATAAAGTATGAAAAACTAACTTGGAGAATTAAAAGGGGACATGGTCCGTATGAAAAATAAATTTATTTCTATAAAACAGTATCTTTGGGGACTTGATTGAGGAAAAGTAAGGGAAAATACTCAAAATTAGGATAAGTTTGTCCTAAGTAGTAAGCAATATTTATTTATTCATACAGGAAAGGAGAGATGGGAATAGGTATTGACAAGTCCATAGGTTTAATAAAGCAACTTTATGGAAAACTGGCCTGGCATCACCTATGGCAGAGAAAAATAGAGTCAATGTTTTGAGTAGAATAGGACTCTTCTTCAAAGCTGAGTTTATAAGTAATTAGCAAAAAAAAATTCTTACAAATTGAAATCTTCCATTGTGTCCCTGATTTATCCCACTCTACACAAGCACAGAGCTTCAGACATCCAGATTAAATGTATATCTTGGAGAATAAGGTTAGAATATTATCATGTTAACGCAATGGAGCACACTGACCAAACTCTCATTGGTCACAAGCAGATTGTAAAGTGATTAAATTCATATCACATTGTCATATAAATTAGGTGACATTAGATGACAATGGGTAGAAATGATTACTGCTGTCAGCTGCAGATTAATGGATGACTCTTTGCAGTAATTTACCCCTTGGATTCAATTAAGTGTTTCCACCACCTTGAGTTTCACTTCATGGTTTTTACCGCCCTGACTCTACAATAAGTTAATAACATTGACAACTCACCTCATTCAGAAGTGCATTCAACTCTCAGAGTGAAGGCAACATCCAGTACAAGTCAAACACAAATTGACAGACAAAGTCATTTTGCAGAAAGCACTGGCCTAGGTGGTCTCAGGATACTGCAACTAGTGTCAATAATCTGCCTTTGGAGGGAACAGGCAGGAGAAATGAAACCAAACAAACATTCAGCAATGCTCCCACTCGCAAGTCCTGTGTCATGAATTTGCTGGTAAACAGGGGTGTGGATGTCACAAGATGACATGATCAAATAAGTTAGCAGCATGGTGGTGGTCAGAAACAATTCTGAAGGACAGAATTAATTTGTTTTTAGAGAGGCAGGTTAATCAAGGACAGTTAGCATAGCTTTATTGAGGAGAGGTCATGTCTGACCAACTTGATTGAATTTTTCAAAGTAGTACCCAAGTGTGCAGATGAAGGCAAAGCTCTTGATGCAGTCTATTTTGACTTTAGCAAAGCTTTTGATAAGATCCCACATGGGAACTGATCACAAAGATAACAGCCCATGGGATCGGAGGAAATTTGACAAACTTGATCCACAATTGGCTGAGTGGTAGGAAGCAGAAGGTGATAGTTGAGGAGTGATTTTCTGACTGGAAGTCTGTGTCCAGTGGAGTCCCACAGGGGTCAGTGTTGGGGCCCTTGTGGTTTATATAAATGATTTAGACTTGAATGTAGGAAGGTTGATCAGTAATTTGCAGATGATACTAAAATTGGTGAGGTGGTAAATAGTGAGGAGGATTACCTTTGTCTACAAGATGATATCGATGGGCTGGTCAAATAGCTGATCAGTGGCAAATGGAATTCAATCTGGATAAATGACCGATAATGCACTTGGGCAGGACAAACAAAGCAAGGGATTATAAGCAGTAGGACCCTGGGAAGCACAGAGAATCAGAGGTATACCATTAGAGCATGTACACAGTCCCTTAAGGTATCAGGCAAGTGGATGAAGTGACATAGTGTACTTGCTTTTATTAACAAATACATTGAGTTTAAGTGTTGGAACTGTATAAAACATTGGTTAGATCACAGCTACAGAATTGTGCACATTCTGGATTTTACATCATAATGAGGGATGAGACTACACTGGAAAGGTGTAGAGAGGATTTACAAGGATGGAACTAGGGATGGAGATTTTCAGTTATGAAATAGTCTGGATAGAGCGAGGTTGTTTACCTTACAGCAGAGGAATTTGAGAGGGGACATGAATGAGATATTTAAAATTATGAGAAACACAGATAGGGTAGACGGGAAGAAACTTTTATCCTTGCTGGAGGGATCAATGACCTGAGGCACAGATTTAAGATAAGGGGCAGAAGGACATGAGGGAAAAAGGTTTTCATCCAGCTGGTGCTGGTGGGAATCTGGAACTGTCTGTAAAGGTGGTAGGGGCAGAATCCCTCAATGTTCAAGTCGTATTTAGATGCGCACTTTGAGTCCAAGGTATTAGAATTAGATTTCACTGTCACATGTACTCATGTATAGGAATACAGAAGGACAGTGAAAAGTATTCAAAGTCACCATTCTCTGGCGCCGTCTTGGTTACAAAAACCAGAATTTTAAAAATAATTTTAAAAAGGAGCCAAAAGGAAAAATATCCAGATCTAAAAGAAAGAAAAATGTATGATGGCTGTGTGTCAAGAGTTGGAAAATAGGATTAGAATACTTATGTCACCGTTTTTGACTGGCGTGGACATGGACAGAAGGGTCTTTTATTGTGCTGTGTATCTTTATTACACAATAGGCAAGGTATCAGTGACCATGAAGTGCCAGCACAACAAGTTAACACGTTCTAAAAGCATTGCAGCAGGAAAGTGAAACAAGATAAAACTGGGTGAGGAAAGGTAATCTTAATTTCCAAACTCAAGGCATCATATATTTCTCACAATATTTATCAAAACAACTATCATTAGGGACTGAACATGAACAAAAAAAAAATTCCAAGGTCACTCAATTCTAGCAACAATTAAAAAGCTAAATTGTATGTTCACTGAAGCAAGCCTTTTAATATTCTCAAAGTTATCTTTCTTCACACATTTATTCCAAATATTATATAGTTATTCCTGTATCATCTACAGTATTTCACATCTTAACTACAAACCTTTTTTCTCAAACTCTTCAAAAAGATTTAGGCTAGTTATGCTGGGTCCAGTATATATGATGTAGTTTTTTCCAGCCAAATTCTGACAAAGACTTTTAGCCACAAGACTGTGGAGTTGTGGCCTGTTCTTCAATGTATCCAGTCCATCTGAGGCTGTTCCTTCCTTCAAATTAACATAAACCTAAATGAAAAGGACAACAAAAAGACAGAACATTTAATATATTTGTTCTCAAAATAGCATTGTTTGAAGGCTTTTATTCATTTTTGTTGCAATAAGAAATTCTACTTAGTTATTCACAAAATATGCACCACCTCTGCCTCTTCCATTTGTCAATACAGATTATCGTAACATCCACCAACTTCTTATTAATACAGTCTGTTGAGTGCAAAAAGGACTTTCGTGCGCTGTTCTGGGTTACACTGCACTTCATTCATGTTTCTATTTTAAACAAGAATGCTCAATCCTGACATTTTGTTTCACTATCCTCTGTGGTCATTCATGTGGAAGGAATGGTCTTACCCTCTATGCTGCAAACTGCAGTTGCCTGGTACCCATTTTGGGAGTAATGAACATTGGATGCTCCCATTCCTCCCTAACATTCGAGGAATTAACTGCAAAATTTTATTTTTTTTTGCTTTGGTCTCCCCATTGTCACTGATCCTACAGATTGTGCTCGAGTCACGGGAGACAAAACAAAAATGGATTAATTTAACGACTGGTTGCAGCAATTTGGGGAAGGAGATAGGGGAAACAACAAAGCATTTCAAAAAAATAAGTGATTGAGATAAAGTAGTGAGAAAGAAAGACACTTGCATGGCAAGGGACTTCAATAACCAAAGGTCACAGATTTTAGGTAATCGCCAAAGAATCAGGGGAGAGGAGGAGTCTATTTTTATTAACGCTTTAAAATGATAATCATCTGGAATGCATTTTCTGAAAAGGTGGTGGAAATAGATTCAAAGTGGCTTGCAAAAGTGAATTAGATAAATACTTGAAAATTTGCAGTGCAGGTGGGCAGGGGAGTAAAAATAAGAGACACGCAGTAGTTCTTTCAATTAGCTGGTGTAGGCATGGCAGACCAGCCTCTAGTACAGTTCTATGGAAGCTAGACAATGACTTCACAATCATAGCATGAGTGTTAAAAACTGGCAGTACTATTTAAGGGAATGCAGATGTACATTAACAGCAGCCTTCTGTTTGTTGAGTCAGAATTATTTTACATTGGAAACTAGAAAGGGAACAATTCACATTCTTTAAAGTTTAGAAACCTTTTATTTATTACCACCTGTCACAGATTAAAGCATGATCTTATGAGGGATGACAAGTTCATAGAAAACAAGTCAAATAGTACCTCAGTAAGCCACTTAAGTGACCAATCTTTTGACAGATGGGATTTTACATAGGTTTAACATTGGTGTGAAGCAGGAGCTGTCAGGATCAATGCTGAATGTGCGTCTTGGAAAGCATGAGCGAACTTCTGACATAATTCTTAAATAAAAGCAGGAAGTTTTCCTGCACTTGGCAACAACAATTACTATGAGGCTGGAAATCTGAAATGCATACTGTCACTGCACCATTTTAGGCTCCAACTCCTAATTCAGGCTATAATTACATTACAAAATCAAAAATTGTAGTAATAAAGAATGAATAACAGACAACTGTATCAGCTGAATAGATCAGTTCACACAGCAAATTTTACATAGCAAAATTTAGCATGAGCGTGTTTGCAAATCAGCCTGACTGTAAAAGATACAGTAAATAGATGTGAAGCTGGAAAAGCATAACAGGTCAGACAGCATTGAATGAGCAGGAAAGTCGACATTTCACGCTGAAACCCTTCGTCAGGACTGGGGAGGCCAGAAGTAAATAGAGTGAGTGGGTGGGGCTGGGGGAAAGGTAAGTGGGATGGTGATAGGTGGATGGCATGTAGGGGGTTATTGTGATTGGTCAGTGGGAAGGGGAGTGGATAGGTGTGTAGGAAGATGGACAGGTTAGGTCAAGTCAGGGAGGTGAGGTGGGAGGGTGGAATTTTGAAGGGGGTGTAGTCAATATTGAAGCCAACGGGCTGTAAGCTTCCACAGCGAAATATCAGGTTGTTCCTCCAGTTTACGTTTGGCCTCACTGACAGTGACAGTGGAGGAGGCCAAGATGGACATGTCACCAGCAGAACAAGCAGGGAAATTAAAATGAATGGCAACTGGAAGGTTGGGTGGGTTGGTGCGTACAGAGCAGAGATGGTCCACAAACCGTTCCAAGTCTGCATTTGGTCTATAGTGGAGACCACATCAGGTGCAATGGATACAATAGATGAGGTTGGATGAAGTGCAGATGAATCTTTCCCAGATCTGGAAAGATTGTTTGGTGCCTTGGACAGAGGTGAGGTGGAAGGTGTCGGGGCAGGTGTTGCATCACTTGCAATTGCAGGGAAAGGTACCGGGTATGGTGGGGAGTATAGAGCTGAAAAGGGAATCACAGAATGAACGGTCCCTGCAGGAAGTGGACGAGGTGGGGAGGGAAATATCTTTTTGTTGGTGGGGTCTGATTGGGGGTGGTGGAAATGCCAGAGGATGATGCGTTGGATCCAAAGATATGTGGGGTGGTACGTGAGGAGTACGGGGACTCTATCCTTATTGTTGTTGGGGGAGGGTGTTTGAGGGCAGAAGTGCAGGAAATGGAGGAGATGTGGTTGAGGGCATCCTTAAGTACAGAGGAAGGAAAACTTTGGTCTGGGATATCCTAGAAGCAGATGCAGCAGAAGCAGTGGAATAACATTTTTACAGGAGGGTGGAGGAGAGGAAGTGTAGTCGGGTGGGTTTGAAATGGATGTCAGTGGGGAATTGGTTTCCAGAGATGGAGACAGAGAGGAGAGATTCAGGAAGGGGAGGACGGTGTCAGAAATGGTCCAGGTGATTTTGAGAGTGGAGTGGAAGGTATTGGCGAAGTTGATGAACTGTTCGAGCTCCTCGCAGGAGCACAAGGCAGTACTGATGCAGTCATCAATATAGCAGAGAAAGAGATAAGGGATGGTACCGGTGTAGCTGTAGAAAAGGGACTGTTCCACAAATCCACAAAGAGGCAGGCATAGCACGGGCTCATGCAGGTGCCCACGGCTACCCCTTTGGTTTGTAGGAAGCAGGAGGAATCAAAGGAAAAATTGTTGAGGGTTAGGATCAGTTCTGGCAAGCAAATTAATGTGTCAATGATGGAGGACTGGTTGGGCCTAGAGGAGAGGAGAGGAAGAAGCAGAGGGCTTTTAGGCCCTCCATATGGTAGACACAGGTGTAAAAGATGTAAGTGAATTCCACACGTCTGATGTCGAGCTCTTTGTCCACCGTCTCCATGCCTATTTCTTTGAATGGGAATCCAACCCAACCTCTGTAGATCCCTTCTCCTGCCTCCAGCGGACTCCATCCTCCTGGACACACCCTTCTACCCTCCCTCTAACTCTTCATCTCACACTGCCGCCGCAACATCAACCACTTGGATCTCTCCAGCCTCTCACTTACTCTAGCCTCCCCCCATCAGAACACACAGCTCCTCACCAACCTCACCATTAAGCCTGCCAACAGAGGTGGGGGAGGGGGCATGTGCGTGTGGCCAACTAACCTTTACATCGCCGAGGCCAAACACCAACTCTCTAACACCTCCTCCTACCGTCCCCTCAGTCATGACTCTATCTCGGGTCACCAAGCCATCACTTCCCAGAACATCGAACAACTTCATCACTTCGGGATATCTCCCATCCACAGCCTCCAACCTGAGAAACAGGCAGTGCGGGATTGGGGAACTCTCTCATTCTCAAAATCTATAAACGCAACTGCCCCGGTGAACCCATTGTCTCTGCCTGCTCTTGCCCCACCGAGCTCATCTCCTACCTCAATTCCGTTCTTTCCGCTTTGGCCCATTAACTCCCTACCTACATTCGTGACACAACTCACTCCCTCCACCTTTTCCAAAACTTTCAATTCCCTGGCCCCCCTCATCCTCACCATGGACATTCAGTCCCTGAAGAAGGGTCCTGACCCAAAACATCAACTTTCCTGCTCCTCTGATACTGTCTGACCTGCTGTGTTCCTCCAGCTCCACAGTGTATTGACTCTGACTCCAACATCTGCAGTTCCCGCTATCTTCTATATCCAAGTTTATGGATGACACAAATATAGGTAGGAAAGCAAGTGGCAAGGATGATAGAGTGCAGAGGGATATAGTCAGGTTAAGCAAGTGGGCAAAAACCTGTTAGATGGAGTATAATGTGGGAAAATGAGAAGTTATGCTCTTTGGCAGGAAGAAAAGATTAACTGAACATTATTTAAATAAAGAAGCAATGCAGAAAACTATGGCACAGAGGGAATTGGACGCCCTTGTTTGTGAATCACAAAAAAACTAACATCCAAACTCAGCGGTAATAGGGAGATAAATGGAGTGTTAGTCCTTATTTGAAAGGAAATGGAGTACAAAAGAAAGAAGGTTTTGCTAACACTGTACAAAGCACAATTCAGACCGTAGCTGGAATATTGTGAACAGTTTTGGGCACTTTATCCAAGGAAAGATATAGTAGCATTGGAGGTAGTACAGAGAAGGTTCACGAGGAGAGGTCAGGTAGATTGGGCCTGTATTCATGAGCATTTAGAAGAATGAGAGGCAATCTTATTGAAACATACAAAATTCTAATGGGACTCGAGAGTTGGTTTCCGCTTATGCGAGAGTCTAGGACCAGAGGGCATAATCTCAGAATAAAAGGGGTCGCAGATTTATGACAGAGGTGAAGAGGAATTTCTTCTCTCAGAGGGCTTCTTTAACACAGAGGGCCGTCAAGGCTGAGCCATTAAAGTATATTCAAGGATGAGATAGATTTTTAATCAGTAAGGGAATTCAGGGCTGTGGGGAAAAGGCAGGAAAGTGGAGTTGATTATCAGATCAGCCATGATCTCACTGAATGGTGGAGCAGACTCAATGGGCTGAATGGCCTACTCCTGCTCCTGCTCGCTATGTCTTAAGGTCTTATGGAGTGGGAACTATTACAAGAGCTAATTAAACCATTATGTCAACGGAAATAAACATGGAAGATTCTGGAAACACACAAGATTTTACAGTTATAAAGAAAAGTTTTTTTTGTTCCAGATTGGGATCACAAAGCATTCATCTTAAGCTGTCTCAAAGGCTGGTTAGAAAAATTTCAGCAGCGTGAACAAAAAGTTGAGCGTCAGAGATCAGAGTTGAGATTGAACTTGGACTGTTGAAGGCTTGTGCTCCTAGTATGGTGATTAGTCCTCTTCTGAGCTCCGTTTCAAATGATGATTTGGGCTTAGGCAAAAGGAACACCATGTAAAATGTTGGTGCCACAAAACAAAGGGGCTTGGCAAAAAAACAGGGTGTGCTGTAAAATATGTCACGAAAATATACAAGTCAATGAAGTCAGCAAAGAATTGGCAGATGTAGTTTAGGACAAACATAAAATGTGAGACAATTAGCTATTTAAAGTCAATGTCTCATGTAAATATATTTAAATGGTTTTAACATTTGGTTACACAGCAAAGAACAATTTAAATTACATCACCTGACAGATGTAGCCTGTTGCTGCACATTGCCTGACCCAAAGACTAAACTTCCGCTTTTTCCTTTTGCGCAATTCCCGGTCTGTACACGTGGCAATGAAGAGTGGATCTTCATCAATTAATGGTTCATGCAGTACCTGAGATACAACAAGTTAAAGATTAGATCATACATAACCTTGCACTAACATTTTCAAATTATACAAATTATTTAATTCAACATGTAAAAGAATCCTCATTGAAAGCAAACTATGAATTTGAAACTCCAGTTAATATGAAACAGCATAGGAAAACATCTTTTGATTACTACAGATGAGACCCATTTAAAAGAATTGGTTAATGGTTTATTCCCAACATGAAGAAAAATAAGCATCACTTGGAAAGGGGGTGGCAGCCAGTAAACTCCAAAATAAAAAGCATTTGGGGAGACAATGCCAGGCATTTACACCAACTCAGATGTCTACTGAATTTCTAGGCGATACAAGATGGCGACCAGTTAAACAAATACTTAGAAGCTCTTGCAATGGCTCAGGTCCTATTCAAGGACACACTAACATGTTTCCTTATATGAAAGGACAAATAATACAAGTTGGAATCAGCAACTAGGATTTATATAATACCTTTAGCATAATAAACTAAAAGCACTTCATAGGAGTGTTGTAAACCAATCTATTTCAGGCATTATCAGGGCAGACGGACATAGACTCCGGTTTTAAGGAATGTCCAAAAGGAAGAAAGGTGGAGAGGTTTAGAAAATGAATTGCAGAGTATAGAGCCCAGGCAGCTGAAAACACAGCCAATGTGATGCAGTTAAAATTCGGGATGATCCAGATGCCAGAAGTAAGGAAACACTTGGAAATGTGGGACTGAATGAAATTACAGGGCCAGGGAAAAGGAAGGCAGTGGAGGGATTGGAAAACAAGAGGACAATTTTAAAATATAAGTATTGTTTAACCGGGAATTAATGTAGGGAGTGAGAATGTAATTGAGTGAATTGACCTTGGTGCAAGTAATAGCATGGAGCAGCTGAATTTTGGATAACTTCAAGCACAAAAGAGGTTAGAACGTGGGAGGCCAGGCAGGATTAGTGGAGTCTAGATATAACTAAGATTTGAAAGAGAGCTGCAGCAGATGAATTAAGGCATGTGATGACGAATCAGCAAACTGGTTCAACTTTGGACAGTTATCAAGTGGATGGATGGAATCGGTAACTTGTGGTCATGCCGTACGGCATAAAAGCATTTGCTGATCCTCAAAACATCAAACTGAGATGACGATACTGAGCTATCCTTCCTTCAGACGGCTGATCACCGGGGTCTGGGGGGGGGGGGGGGGGGGGGGGGGAAGAGCCTCCTATGACCCCGGGCATCAGATTAGCACACAAACCCATATCAACCCTCACTCGAACCACTATGGACAGGACCAATGTCATATACAAGATTCCCTGCAGAGACTGTGACAGTTTATAATGGAGACTAAAAGCAACAGCTTCAGTCTTCCTAATATTTAATACATCTGGACATGGTGATCTACGGCTTTGTTTGTTCTCCTGTACTGGATGTCAGATAAGTACTGTGCTTTTTTTCCCCAAATTCTTTCATGGGATGTGGGTATCTCTGGCAAGGTCAATATTTTATTGTCCATTCAGTTACCCTGAGCCAACTGAGTCAACTAGTTGCTGTGTGCTTGGAGTCACCTGTTGAAGGACCATATAAGGATGGCAGGTTTCCTTCCCTAAATGACATTAATTAACCAGATAGGTTTTTACAACAATCGAGAGTGGTTACTCATTTTTTTTTTTAATTCCAGACTTTTTATTGAATTCAAATTTTCCGATCTTCCATGTCCCAGAGAATTCACCTGGGTTCGAGATTACTAGTGTAGTGACATTACCTCCAAACCACCACCTTCCTATGGCCAGTGTCAATATGCTCCTCCCAGTTTGTAGCTTCCCCTCCAAACTAGCAACTGCTGGTAACCTGACCTGATGGTGAAGGGTATAAAAGGATCAATCAGTTCCAAATAACATGGCCTCACTCTTGCCTCTTGGCTCTCAAGGCCAGTTCAAACAGGTCACAGATGTTCATGAGTCTGCGCACTGACAGCAGATGGTGATGTTGTTCACATACAAGCAGGCTTTGACCTGCAAACCTCAACCACCTGGGATAGTCAACCTGCTTAGACCCACACCCTTCTGACAGACTATGCAACACAAATACATAAGGAGAGAAGGGTAGCCATGCTCGATTCCAGATTTGATAGAGAAGCTTTTAAATTCTCAACCATTGGTTGAAATTGCACAACTGACATTTATGTAGAGCAGGTGGATGCAATGGTGGATTCTAAGACCCATTTTGAGAGTATGCCCCTCACATAGGAGGGACATTTTCTGTTAATGGCCTCTCCCAGTCCAAGCTGATGAGACTGCTGTCCACCCTGTGTCCTGCACATAGGTGATCATAGCAGAGTAATACAAGGTTCTCCCACCTGGTACAGTGCAGGTCTGGTCAGAATGAATCAAGACCGGAGAGCAGACCTGATCTGTTTGACAATGACCATGGATAGAATTTTGCAACTTTGATTTAGCAGTAAGAACAGTTACCAAATGCTAATTTCCTCTCCATCCCCAGCTTGTAGATGATGGTGATAATGCCTTTCCTCATGGATTTGGTCATGCTGCCAGTCAGAAGCAGACTCTCATACATCTTGATGGCCCACAAAGTTGAATACAACTCCACTGGTAAACCATCACTTCCAAGAGTTTCACTTCTGTGAAGATTCCCTGCAGAGACTGTGACAAACACTATATTGGACAAACAGGAAGGAAATTAACCACAAAGGGTACACGAACATCAACTGGCAACAAAAAGACATGACCAATACTCGCTCATCTCTATCAACATGGATAAGGAGAACCACCAATTCGATTGGGACAACACCAGGATCCTGGGACAAGCAAAGCAGAGACAAGCATGGGAATTCCTAGAAGCCTAATACTCCACTAAGAAAGCCATCGATAAACACAGAGCTCGACCCCATATACACTCCATTGCAAAGGAAAACTAAGTGAGGTAATCCAGCTCAATGGACACCAAAGTCCAGGAAAACACAACAGCGCTTCACTGAAGGCTGCGCTGATGATGTTACCCAGCAGGGTAATGAAACAACTGTGGAACAACAAACCAGCTTGGTGAGCCAACCAACCACAACAGGATTTTTATAATTTATTATCTGTCTAACATCTTTTAAAAAGAGACATTGAGTTTAAAATCAGCCAAGATTGATTGCTGCATCTTCATACTAGCCTTGGTCCAACCAATCAGTACCCTATTTGCATGCTGTACAAGTTAGCATTTCCTTTCTAAATTTGGGTCCTTGTGTCCTAATCCTGTTAAATGAAAGACAAAAAGAACTTCAATTTCATACCCCATTTCAGCAATGCTCAGCAGGGTCAAACTGACTGTTTAATACTGGACTTAGAATTTGACTTGGAATTTAACACAGTAAAGGATACTGAAAAATAGTTAAAAGAAAGTACCCGCTAATGGCCATGAACAGTCAATTTACTGTGGGGATTAGATGTGGGGCTAATTACTGAAAATAGAAAAAGCCAGTTGTAACTTGGGATGCCTCAAAAAGGCATATGAAAAGTAAACAGGAAGTGCTAATACAGGGTAATTCAGCGCAGGGTGTCTGCAAAGAGAGTGCATCAGAGATTAAGTGTTGGTAATTTGGTGTAGAAAGGCAAAAAGATTCCATTATTTATAGCAGCTTGTGTCACCGTTTAGTACTGTTTGGGGATGAATTCAAAACTCTGCCAATATGCTGCCTGGCTTGCTGTAGTCATGACTTCTACAACATGGCATTGAGTGGGGAGAGCCATCTTGAAGCCAGTAAAAGGAGGCACTTCAGACAACACGTCACAGGCACTGAATTCATAATACGGTGTTGTAATGGAGCTGAGATTAACTGTTGAAGAGCTGCACAGAGGCACAACTACTGACAGATGCACAGTAATCTTAAATCTGTTGTAGCTTCTGCTGAAAGACACTAAAAAGCATCAAGGCAGAGCCTACAAGGAATTGACTCAAGTCGTAGGAAAGCAAAAATGTGAGCAATGAAATCGAGGGCCACATCAGCTAGTGCAATGCTTTCTACAAGCCAAGCTATGCAAGTTAAAGAGCTGCTGATGATGTGAAATCAGAGACAGACCATGGATGAATCTGGAAGTAGACCTCCTCACTCTCACTACAGCTAATTATTCTGTCACAGTAGACCATCATTCAGACTAGTGGAGATGGACCAACTGACTACCACTGAGACTGCAGAATTTCTGAAAGTACACTTCATTATTCCTTTCACTGAGATGACTGATAATGGCCCCAAGATCAGAAATGGAGAATTTAGGTACTTTATAAAGGATTGGGAAATACAACTATCCTCAACCAAATTGAAAGATTGCAGTGCCAGTTAAAAACACTCAAGGAATCAAAATTCCAGATCAGATGCATACAAAGGAATCCTCAAACACCACTGAAAGACATCCAACAGAAAGTGGTCCACTTATACACAGGAGCAGGAGTAGGCAATTCAGCCCGTCCAGCCTGCTCTGCCATTCACTAATATTGATTTGTGGCCTAACTCCATATAGTTGCCTCGAACCCGTGTCCTTCAATACTCTTACTTAATAAAAAATAGTTTATTTCAAATTTAAATTTGACAACTGAACTAGCATCGAACGCTGGTTGAAGTACTGTGTTCCATACATCCATTTGAAGGTTATCTAAGATTACAAAGGCATCTTGATCAATTGGAATAATGGGCTGAGGAATGGCAGATGGAGTTAAATTTGGATAAATGCAAGGTATCGCATTTTGGTGAAACAAACAAGGGCAGGACTTACACAGTTAATGGTAGGGCCCTGGTAGTGTTGTCGAACAAAGTGAATTAGGGATTCAGGCACATAATTCGTTGAAAGTTGCATCACAGGTAGACAGGCTAGTTAAGGCGGCATTCAACACGCTTGTCTTCATTGCTTAGACCTTCCAGTTATAGGAGTTGGGGCATCATGCTGAGGTTGTACAGACATTGATGAGACCACTTTTGGAGTACCATATACAGTTCTGGTAGCCCTATAGGA